CTAACACTGAATGCTTAAAATACTACCTACGCCAGATATGCCTCTAAGTTTAACAGAGGCTGCACAGAGAACACGGTTTCTAAGTGGAACTTGCCAGCATAAATAATGTGATACAAGGTATGAACGAAGCGTGTGAAGCGACTTTACCAAAACGTTTCCTTGTGGCTTTATACTACATTTGGCCGAGAGGCTCATACGGCGTTGTATTTAGCGTGTAAAGTATGGGGTTGCTATGAATGTAAGCTCGTAGACGCAAAATACGCTTTCTGATATATGGACAGTGTTATTATGACACACATGCATCTGGAAATAAGGAAATTACTGTGCTTATGATTAAATCTTAAAGTGGAATAACGATGCATAGTGTGGAATATGGATGGAGCTACGGTGAATCGTGAAGCCATTTACCACCGCTAAACATTAACGTTATACGTTGCACAGGCAGTTCGTTAATGTTTCCAACTGGTAAGTGAACTAGTCTCCGCTGGTTAAGGTGGGTGCAAAAATTTTAAACGGTATATATCAGGTTAGCGGCATGTGAATGGATAGCGCATGTCTTTGTATAATTTACCTATATCAGTCCAGCCACCGCTTGGCAGGTAACTTCTTGTCTGTGGACGTTTTTACATAGGATCACAAGCCGGGTAAACGCTTTTTCTCATTTGTCTATCTCAGCCAAGAAAGCACTTCGTAGCGATCGCTTATTAGCTGCATACTGGTCAGAGGCCGATGCTAGTTATATTCACCAATCCTGATGCCATCGTTTTATAATTGGTATATTTCAGCCAAGCCATCGGTAGTAGGCTCTATGCTGATCTTTGGCCGATACTACATCGATTCACAAGGCCTAACGCAACCGTTTTGTAAGCGGTCTATCCTAGGCAAGCCATTGCTTGGTAAGCATTTGAAGGCGATGTTATCTAGGTTCACATACCCAGAAGGGAGCGCTGTACGCATGGTATATCTGACCTAAGCCGTCGATTCTTACTCCATTCTTATCTGTGGGCGATGCTTCTTAATGCACAAACGGATGTAACCGGTGCACCATTGGTACCTTTTAGGCAAGGCGTTGCTTGGCAGCTCTATTCTGAAGTTTGGACGTTCATCGGTAGATACCCAAAGCCAATTGCTACCATACAATACTTGGTCTAGCTCGGCCAACCCATCTTATCCATGGACGATGCTTCCCAGAATCACCTAACCTGATACAACCATATTTTAAATGGTCCATCGCACCCAAGCCACCGCTTGGCAGCTCTATTCCTCTTTGTTGACCATGCGTCCTAGATTCCGGAAGCCTCCTGCTAAATTTTATAAACGGTTTATCTCAGGCAAGCCATCGCTTAGCAGTTCTGTTCTAAACTGTGTACCACTGTACGCAGGATTAAGTAGCACGACGCAACCGTTTTATAGTTGTTCTATCTCTGCTAAGTCAACGGTTTGTAGCTCAATTCTTATCTGTGAAAGAAGCTACCGAGATCCACGAAGCCTGTTACTACCATAGATGGTGCATCTCAGATAGTGCATCGCAGCTAAGTCATCGCTTGGTAGCCCTATCCCGATTGGTGGACGATGCTACCTAGCATCCTGATGTCGGCCGTTACCATATACTAAATAGGCCACGGCTACCAAGCGATCGGTTGGTAGCTGCATTCTAAACTTTGTACGATGGTACATAGTTTCACCTAGCCTAGAGCAACCATACTGCATACTTTCGATGTAAGTTAAGCCATTCTTTGGCAGCTTAATTCTGATCTGTGGACGAGGCTGCCCTGTACCACCTAGGTTGTAGGAACAATTTTGTGAATGGTTTATCTCAGTTGAGCCATTTCTTAGTAGCTGCAACCTGACCGGCGGACGATGCTACATGCATACTCAAAGCCTGCCACTGTCTTTTATAAATGGCCTATCCCATCAAAGCCATTGCTAGTTCTATTCGGAACATTTCCATGGTACCTAGGAGTACCTAGGAAGAGGAAACCGATTTCTAACTGGTCTATCACAGTTAAGTCCTCGCTTGGTAGCTCCAAGCGTATCTGTGCAGGAGGCTATTTGGATTCTTGAAGCCTGCTGGTACCGTTATATAGATGGGCCATACCCGCCAAGCTATCAGCGGGTAGCGTTGTTCTGAAGCTTGTATGACACACGTAGCCTGATGAAACCATTTTCCAATTGGTCTACATAAGTTACTCCGTCGCTTAGTGACTAAATTCTGATCTGTGGACGATACTACATAGTAGCACCCAGCCCGCTGCAACCATTCTAACCATGGTCCATAGCCGCCAAGCCATCGCATCGTAGCTTTATGCTGATATGTAGACGAGGCTAAATAGTACCACCTAACCCGTCAAAACCATATTATAAATGGTTTATAAATAGGCCTGGGAACGCCTACCATATATCATGATGCGGCGCATCGAAAAATTTGTTCCAACCTGCAAGAGCAGACCACCATCTAAAGGACGCCAGTAGGTTGGTAACGTAAGATACCCAATAAAACTACAGAAACGATGGGATCATTGCAAGAGCACTTGACTGAAATCAAGCTGCTTAGAGTACAAAACTGTCAGAAAACTATGCACCCTGAGAAAACGAGACAAGTGACCGCCATATGAACATAGACTGGTCACGGAATCCCAAAACTGACCTAAGGAAGATTTCGCCTACCTGAAGCGAAATGCGAAAACGGATAGTGGTATCCCTCCCATCCTGTTCTAACGAAGGCACCGTTCTCTACGGCGATGAAGAAAAAGCAAACCTACTGGTTGTGTAATATTCCTTGGTCTCCAAAGTTGTATTTCCGCCGCTCAACAACTGTGTGCTTGCACATTACAGCTCTATGGTCTAATTTGCAACTAACTCCGAGGTAGTCACTAAGTACGTCACTCCCCTCTCCGCTAAGTAATTCAGCAATCCCACGAAGTTGTCTGCTAACCCAAAGGCTGGAAATCAGGCACCATGCAGTCCAAATACAAGGGGAAACCAACTAGATCCACCGAACTACCAGCCAAAATGCCCGCCATCAGTCGCATGCAAAACTATGAAACCAAGAGTTAATTACGCCCTCCAGTTACACTGTAGGAATCTAAACTTAATTTCACCTGCTCAACATGGCTTCCGACGAGCACGCTCATGCACATCTAACTCACCCATCGCCAGAGAAACGTGCGCAAAGCCATGGAGGCCCGAAAACAGGTTGACCTAATAGTTATTGACTTCAATAGGCCTTTGATAAGGTTCCACACGTACAACTGCTACATAAACTCCAGGGAATTTGCAATACAGGAAATCTCCCCTAGATTGCCGCTTTCTAAGGAGGTAAGACAATGCGCGTTCAAGTGAACCAAACACTCCCTGCTCCAGTGCCTATAACTAAGGGCATTCCCCAAGGATCTGTGCTTGGACCAGAGCTCTTCAAACTGGGGATTAACGATCTGACGACTGCACCTCAAACCGACATTTTGATCTACGCCCATGACTTCAAGCTATGGTCAACATTATCTAGCCTTTGGGATGCACATACAGTGCAAGGGGTTCTAGACCACCCACACGAATGGTCCATAAAGTGGAATCGCCAGTAAACCAAGCCAAATGCGCTGTTCGCCCAATGGGTAGCACTGAACCGTGCGGTGCATACCACCTTGGTGGGCTTCTCCTCATGAATACCACTCACGAGCTGGATCTCGGGATCCTCGTCCATTCGAACCTTAGAAGGACGCAGGACACGTTGAAGAAAGTGGCCATTGGAAGGAGACTTGTATGTGCCTTAAGAAGAGCATTCTCGAGAATGACTTCTGAGACTTCTCTACATTTGTTCACTTCGTACGTCCGTCCAGTCTTAGAATATGGCCTACCAGCTACCTACGCGCTTCCAAAGTTTGAATGCGTTGCGCTGGAAAAGCTCCAGAGACGTGCATCAAAAGCTGTTCTTGGGCTTCGTAATCTCCCGTGCCCATTCGACCCCCGCAGCTAAAGCTATACTGCTTTGAGCTCCGCCGTCTCCGGGGAGATTTCCTCTACACTAGGCGCATCCTCCGTGAGGAACTTGGATGTGAGTTTCAACCATGCATCTGGACCAACACTGACGGCTCCATACGAGGTCACGCCTTGAACTTATTTAAGCAAAGCAGGCACAGAATTCGCATGGACGTCACCCTATCCACCAGAGCGGTGAATGATTGGAACAGCCTACCGGAAGAAATTGCAGTCCTGCCATCCGAGGAATGATTCAAGCGACTGCTAGACAAATAATCGCCAAGAACGTTAGAATCTTGCGGCTGGCACTGCAACCGCGACAAACCCTGGAGTCAAGTCTTAATGCAACGACACGCAACAAACGCAGTATGATACGGAATCAATGGTGCTGACAAGGGATTTCCCTCCTGCTCTCTACAACTTAATGAACCGATAATCGTCCACCAAAAGTTGTTGCTGACGTTGAGCTATTGCAGCCGTACACCCCATCCGAATCCATCGGATACAACCCTTGGCGAACATAAAGCACGGAACACCCATAGCGCTGGCAGGTATGGCGGGGCACCGTAGCGCGCTCCCTTATATACGGATCGACATATTTGTTAATTAAAACAATCAGTGCATCAATTTTCACCTATCATTTTTACCGTTTCGAGCGGTTTCCATGCGCGCTAATTAACACTATAACGTTTACTTTGCAACTTGCTCGTTACTTTGCCAGCCACAGCCGGTAGTAGAATTGTAGCCAGAGAGGAGAGATGGGGACGGAGTTACAAGCATGCTTACAATTCAATGCAAACAGTTCAACTCGAGGCCACAACTGGAAACCGCTTAAACCAAGAAGGCTCCCGGTTCATCCTGCTCTCACTCTATAAAATCGCGTAGCCAACGATTGGAACGACTTCCCGAAGCATGTGGTTGATGCCCAGACAGAGGAATGTTTCAAGCGGATGTTAGATTCTTATCTTCTGAATACGATGGGCCATTGCAGCTTCCACTGTAGCTGTCACGGTCCCTTGGGGATTACCGCTAACATCGAATCGCGGCCTCCACACAATGATCGGGAAGCGATGGAGCTGACAAAGGATTTCTCCTTCTGCTCTCTACAATCCTATGAACCTATGAACATATATACATTTTCAATTTGCATCAGTCAATGGCTCATGAGTATCAGACCACAGCTTGCTGTACCAAATCGCACAGCATATTTTCGGCTTTAATAAAGTCAGATAGTTACGTAATCGTTCCGGAACAACTATGCCAATGGCTTGCATCTAGCGTTGGCATTTGTGCAGTTCTTTAATAATGAAGGCGTCCGATGGTTTGTGTTCATTCAGTAACGGGTTTGATACAATCTATGAATCTGATTTCGATGATGAAAATTATTCCGGTGCTGAGAATTCCGTCATCCTCGAAAGACGGCGAAGGTCACACACGGAGGCTGAACAGAGACGCCGAAATGCCATAAAAGTTTGTACACTTGTTTTTGGTCCATGAAGCACCCGGTTCTCAGAAAGGCTATGAGTGTCTTCGTGAATTGGTCTATCCAAGTAAATGTAACACCGGTTCTTCCGCCATCCGCATAAGTAAATTGTCTATCCTAAACAAATGTAAGTTGATCCACGTCCGCAATCTATGTGGTTTAAAAGCTGTGTCAGATATCGAGAAGCTTGGAAATGAGATACACAAAAAGCAACTGGAAGTCAGACGGTTGGAAAAGGTTGTGGACGCATTGCGCGTGCTAAACACGTAAGACTGCACGATGTATTTACTAAATCCCTTAGCCTGTATGAAGAGCGTCTGAAAGACAACTCTCCGGATCAAAATTTACAAGGAGAGCCTGTTTCTGAGGATGTAAAGTTACAAGTCTTTCAATCTTTTGCAGACAATCTGTTCAGTTCCTTCGACTCTGGCGTTGCCTTTGCATCTTTCCGTGAATTCGTTGATTCCATTCTCACATGGCTGGAAGATAGTTGCAAGCCTGAGGTTCGTGATTCATTCTCTACTTGTTGAGCGCCTGCGTATTTGTTCTTGCCGGTTTTCAGTTTGCTGACCTCCATCTTGTTACCCGACAATGTACTCGCCTTCCTGCTTTTTTGCGTTTTTACGTCGAAACTGCCTGACTGCCATCGTTTGTATGCTAGAAGTACTTGGTGGCTGTCATTACACGCTCCGTTTCCACCTTACACTTAACTTTTGTCAATCTTGTCATCCAAGCACATTTCGGGGTGTTCGAACATTGTCTTCACCTGCTGCACTGCCATCGTAAGTCGTATCCATTTAAAATACCCACTCCACCCTAGTATTCCCTTTTCAACTGGACTCTGCGATTCAAGTGCCGTGGCGGTACACATGATGAAATGGTTGAATATACACGAAACAATTTATTTCAGAACAGCGAACCCATCTCCGCGTGACCAAGTCCTAACATGGTATCATCGTATGCAACCTGTTCTTGGTTGCATCTTTACAGGCTCTTTACATATCTTCTCTCTGGTTAGAAGTAAGGCGATTCTCCATCCGGGTTTGGGGTTAGAAGCGAGATAGCACTCGGCTCCTAAATGCACTTAACTGCCGTTCTAGTAGTTACAATATTACCTCTGCACCGTAGACACCACTTTTCGCCTAAGTATTTAGTTGAGGAATCTTGTCGGAATTTGGCTGCTCTGTCAGGATCCCAGTTTGCATAGTAGCCTTTCCAGTCTCACCGAACATCGGCCACCACAAGGTCAATAAGCTAAAACACGTTTTTACTGACGACTCTTCTGTAACACTTAGTATACCCTCTGAAATATGCTGATGTTGCGGCTACACAATTTCGACGATGTTGCGGCGGCATCGTCCGACGAGCTTGCGATGGCACAATCAACCATCATCATCATCATTACACGTTAGCTGGAGGTGGAAAACACCTCAGCTATTGTGCCGCAATACAAAAGTCAAGAAAAGGAAAACAAACAGTGGCACGCCCGTTGAGTCCCCAGTAACGGATGGACATCGTTCCGGAGAGCTAACAGCTGGCTGCCGTAAAAGAAAGTCATATTATGCCTAACGATTGAGATCGTGATTGGAGGGGGATGCCAAGCAGAAGGGAGATGGACAAAGGAACTCACAACACAAACGCCACTGGGGCCGGCTCCTAGCCATATCAGCAAGAGTGTCCAACCAAACGTGTTCACCGTCCTTAGGACCCCAGCCAGGCAGTCGGGATGCACCAACCGACGCCAACTTCGAAGTGAGGGTTTTCATTTCTCTCGACCAACTTATCACTTGGCCTCCCCTCCTCTTCCAACCGCACCCACAACGCGCAAACGAGGCACGTCGCGGGAGTCGGTGTGCTGGCATGCATCATCATCATCATCAACAGCAGTACATCAGCCATTTGAACTGATGCTTCGCTGCCATACAACCATGAGGACCTATGAAATAAAGAATAATAAGAGGGAGAGAAGGGGAACTTACTTGAAAACCTTAATGCCCTAAGCAAACATTCAGGGTCAAGGCGCCTACACCTTGTGTAGACAACATGCCGTCACAAATAGCTGGCTATTGTGCAAAGATAAGGCGGCATCGGCGAGACAGCTTCCTTGCGGCTTTCACTGCCACGCGTCATAATCAGCCATTACCCCGCAGATAACTCAGCACCAAACACACTTTAAACAGACAATCCGATTAGGAGACGGCAGCAGACGCGCCATTGATGTCGGTTGCGAGCCATGTCCTGTAAAGTCTCGAGCCAAGCACAAGGTGAGTCACGTGGACTCCAACCCGGAAGGCGAGACGGACCAACGGCACCCAGTTGGTCGTCAGTGACTTCATTTCCCGCTGCCAAGTCAACTTCTGTCCACTTCGAGCCTTGCGCCATCCGACACCTGGTAGACTGAACAAGGCCCTCCTAGGTAAGCGGTGACCAGGCATGCGTAGCACGTGCCCGAGCCAACGCAACTTATTCAGTGCTATCTGTTGTTTTAGGGAGCTAGCATGATCATCACCACCTAGTACTCGCCTACGCACATCATCGTTGCGGACACGCTGGTGCCATCCGACACCAGCAATGCTTCGCAAACAGCGATGATAAAAGACTTGAAGGCGCCTCAGATCTTCAGACCGAAGGGGCCAAGTCCCACTACCATAGAGCAGAACGGCCCTCACTGTGGCCTTGTATACACGGCCTTTCAGACGGAGGAAAACTCCCTTCTGTCGCCAAAGATGACGCAGGTTCAAGAAGGCAGCTCTGGCCTTTGCAATGCGTGAGCTCACGTCAGTTTCTATGCGCCCATCATTGCTGATGCAGCTGCCAAGATAAGTGAATTGATCAACCACCTCGAGTTCCTCGTTAGCAAGCGTCAAGGGGTCATCGAGTGGCTGGTGGTCCTGCAGCAACACTGCACTTTGAAGGTGCGAAGTGCATACCAAATAATGGGACCACTCTGGATATGCTATTCAGGGTTGATTGTGCCGCCTCAACATTGTCGAAAAGCAAGACGATATCCTCTGCATAATCTAGATCAACTAACCGTTCACCAGGCAGCACTTCAACACCTACATCGTGAGATTCTGCAAGGGAACACTCCATGATAGAATCCACGACGAAATTGAACAAAAACGGGGAAATCGGGCAACCCTGTCGAACGCCACTTGTGGTCGAAAAGCTATCCGATAGGGCACCATAGACCCTGACGCGGCCTCTAGTGTTCGAGTATAGAGCACGAAGGATGTTCACATATTTCGTGGGAACACCTTTCCGCGCAAGTATTTCGAACAGATTCGATCGATCGACTGAATCGAACGCACTCTTGAAATCGAGAAACACAGCTATTGTCGGTCTGCGGTATGCGTGGCGCTGCTCTAGCACCTGCCGCAAAGTAAATATATGGTCTATACGGCCACGTCCTGGGCGAAAACCGGCCTGCTCTTCCCTAATCCGAGATTCCCTTCCACAGTGAAGCGACGAACGATAATCGAGGCCAGTAATTTTGTCACAACTGGCGTTAGGCTAATACCCCTGTGGTTCGCACAGTCTGTGCGACTGCCCTTCTTGTATATTGCCACTATAATCGATTCGCTCCAATTAGCCGGGACGCTCTCTTCTTTCCAGATACGTTCGAATAAGGTCAGTGTTTTGCAGAGGACCTCACCTCCATCCTTAAATAGTGCAGGTGGGAGGGAATCCGGGCCAGCGGCACGAAAACGATTGAGGGCTGTGATCGCGTTTCGGACCTCGGCCTCCGACGGAGGCTCTAAACTAACCGTCCATGGCTGGTGCTGCATCACCTGAGTAGGAAGAGGTCCGGGAGCATGGGGCCAGCTGAACTGATCTTGAAAGTGTTCAGCCCAACGAGCCATACGGCGCTGCTTATTGTGTATCAGCGCACCCGCGCTGTCCCTGATTGTCTCACTGACGCCTGGTTTTCTCGGACCAGTGGTGCGTAGTAGCTGGAAGAGCTTCCGGTAATTGCCTACTGCTCCTGCCTCCTCCATTTCTTGAGCCCGACTGGTCCACCAGGCTTCCTTGTCAGCACGTAGGCTCCGCTTTAGTTCACGCCTAATAGCCCGTCTGGTCACATTGTGTTCAGAACCAGCCGGGAGGTGCCTTCTAGCTTCCAAAAGGTTCACGGACCTCTCGGATATCCAGTGACTGGTGCGGTGACGACTGATAGTGCCACAAACAGATGCTCCTGCGTCGTGCATGACTGCTGAGATCCTATTCCACTGAAGTTCAGTGTCATTAGGACAAGACAGCGAGAGTTCGCTATGCAGTGCTTCTTGATAGGCTTGCCTGACAGAGGGCTGGGACAATTTCTCCGTTGCCAATCGTATGGGACGCTTTGTGCGCCGGTGGCCGAGTGGTTGGCACGTTTGCTTTCCAACCATAAGGTCACCGGTTCGAATCCGCGTAGGGGTGGGCGTCCTCGCGGTATACTCAGCCCGCGCGCGACTGGTGGTGGTCGCGCGGCAGCGAAGCGCCGTTACGGCGTATAAGCTGACACATTTCATCCGCCCTGCTGTATGCAGCAGATAAGGCGACCCTTGATAATCTGCGCGACGGCCGATGCAGGATGAAGTTTATGTTTGAAGAAAATGTCATGGTTGTATGTGGGCTGAGATACTGCCAGAGCGCCCAGACCTAGACAGGAGAACGATTAGAGTCCTCACCCAAAGCCTTTGGCTCAAAAGCCTGTCCGCAAGGCAGCGGGGTGGCAGTGATTTATCTTACAGAAATGGACGCCATCCCATTTCAAACCCCCAACCTGGAGGACCAGGAGACTGAGTTTGTCTGACCTCTCACCATTGACCAACCTGGTAGGAGTAGCTCTCAAGATGCTCGGAGGCATCACCCAGTATAGCTCAATGGGTCAGTGAGGTACGCAAACCGTCGCACCACGTTAAGGTCCAGTCTCGTTGCGACGGTATGCTGGCATGCGCAACACGTGGCCCAGCCATCGGAGCCTGGTGCGTGATATAATGGTGCTGAGCGGTTCACTCGCACTTCCTGCACCAAATACACGACGCCGAACACGCTCATTGCTCACGCGGTGTTCCCACCAGACATGAGCTAAGCTGCGAAGGCAGCGATGATCGAATGTGACGAGTCTCTTCATGTCTGTCGACCTGATGGGCCAGGTTTCATAGCCATATAGGAGAGTTGAACGGACGGCTGCATTGTAAACTCTGCCCTTGAGGGCGAGAGTAATGTCGCGTCTGCGCCACAGGTGGCGGAGATTGGCAAAAGCACCTCAAGCTTTTGCTATACGGTTCGTAACCTCATCTTCAATCCCACGGGTGCTAATATAGCTGCCCAGGTACTTAAATTCCTGAACGACTTCTAGCAGATCACCACCAAACGTTAGCGCAGGGTTGGGTCCCTGCCAATCTTGGAACAGTACTTTGCATTTCGATGGAGCAAAGCATAGCCCAAAACGATTGACAGCCAGTGCTAATCGGTCCAGTGCTGTTTGGCATGTTTGAGAGCTGTCACAGATTAG